AGGAAGCATCAATATGAACAAAGCTAGTGGAGGTGATGGAATTCCAATTGAGCTATTTCAAATCCTAGAAGATGATGTTGTGAAAGTGTTGCACTCAGTATACCAGCAAATTTGAAAAACTCAGCAGGGGCCACAGGACTGGAAGAGGGCAGTTTTCTTTCCAATCCCAAAGAAGGGCAATCCCAAAGAATGTTCAGACTACTGCACAATTGAGCTCATTTCACGTGCTAGCAAAGTAATGCTCAAAATTCTCCAAGCGAGGTTTCAACAGTATGAGAACTGAAAACTCTCAGATGTACAAGCTGGATTTAGAAAAGACAGAGGAACCAGAGATCAAATTGCCAATATCCATTGGATCATAGAAAAAGCAAGAGAATTCCAGAAAAACATCTATTTCTACTTCACTGACTACGCTAAAGACTTTGACTCTGTGGATCACAACAAACTGGAAAATTCTTCAAGAGATGGGAATATCAGGCCACCTTACTTGCTGCTTGGGAAATCTGTATGCAGGTCAAGAAGCAACAGTTAGAACCGGACATGGAACAACAGACTGGTTCCAAATTGGGGAAGGAGTTCGTCAAAGCCGTATATTGTCACCCTGCTTATTTAACTTATATGCAGAGTACATCATGCAAAATGCCAGACTAGATGAAACACAAGCTGGGATCAAGATTGCCGGGAGAAATATCAATAATCTCAGACATGCACATGACACCACCCTTATGACAGAAAGAAGAGAGGAACTAAAGAGCCTCTTGATGAAAATAAAAGAGGAGAGTGAAAAAGCTGGCTTAAAACTCAACATTCAAAAAATGAAAATCATGGCATCCGGTCCCATCACTTCATGGCAAATAGATGGGGAAAAATGGAAACAGTGAGAGACTTTATTTTCTTAGGCTCCAAAATCACTGCAGATAGTGCCTGCAGCCATGAAATTAAAAGATGCTTGCTCCTTGGAAGAAAAGCTATGACCAAATTAGACAGCATATTAAAAAGCAGAGACATTACTTGCCAGACAAAGGTCTGTCTAGTCAAAGCTATGGTTTTTCCAGTAGTCACGTATAGATGTGAGAGTTGGACCATAAAGAAAGCTGAGTGCCAAAGAATTGATACTTTTGAATTGTGGTGTTGGAGAAGACTCTTGAGAGTCCATTCGGCAGCAAGGAGATCAAACCAGTTCATCCTAAAGGAAATCAGTCCTTAATATTCATTGGAAGGACGGATGTTGAAGCTGAAGGTCCAATACTTTGGCCATTTGATGCAAAGAATGACTCATTTGAAAAGACCCTGATGCTGGGAAAGATTGAAGGCAGGAGGAGAAGCAGATGACAGAGGATGAGATGGTTGGGTGGCATCACCAACTCGATGAACATGAGTTTAAGCAAGCTCCAGGAGTTGGTGATGGACAGGGAAGCCTGGTGTGCTGCAGTCCATGGGGTTGCAAAGACACGACTGAGTGACTAAACTGAACTGAGTTCAGAGAGGGCTCCTGACTTAGAGAATGAGAAATATGTGGCCTCTCATCTTCTATGTGGGCAGGGCCCAGCCTCCTCCCTTCAGTGTTCTTGCTATTTCTGTCTTGGGGTATCAGTCCACAGAAACTGTGGACTCCAGCTCTTTGCTTCGGGGCCCTTCTATCTCCTGCCTCAAGACCATCTTCCCTTCCCTTAGAAAGAATGACTTTGGTTTTGATTAGGGAAAAATACACCCTCATCTCAAAGCCAAAGGCTCTCTGTCATACTGATTAACTGTGGTGAAGGGCCTTGGAAGCCCACTGCATGGACCAAGTTGACCTCTTAAGGCTCAGCAGGACCTGACCTCTGCAGGGATGTGCAGTTGAATTCCTAGACCTGGAATTTGCTTTCTTACTTTCTTACCACCTGTCCTTTCATCTAGCTAAGTTCTCCTCATATTTCTGGTGTCAGCTGAAATCTTACCTCCCCCTAGGCATCTTCCCTGACAGCTAAAGCAACTCATGTTCCCTTTTATTGTCATGTAGACCCACTGCTTCTCCTGTTTGCCACAGCTCATATAAACACACGCACATGATACTTACACAAGACATGCATATATATTTAAATGTGTTTAAAATGGTTTTTCTTCCTAAATGAAAAGCTCCATGAGCTGTGAGATAATATTGTCTAGCACTATTCTAACTCTCTGCTAAAAGGAAAAGTAAAGTGTTAGTCGCTCAGTCATGTCAAACTCTTTGAGACCCCCTGGACTATAGCCCACCAGGCTCCTCTGTCCATGGGATTCTCCAGGCAAGCATACTAGAGTGGGTTGCCATTGGCTTCTCCGGCTCCCTGGTAGGGACTCAATATAAAGCACTACATTAGTGGAGATGATGAATGTTGAAAATGATAATGATGAGGCTTTGACATGTTCAAGTGCCTGTTTCTTGTGCAGTAGGAGCATACCTCTATACTCACGTGTGATTGTAATTATTTGTCAGCCTGTCTGCATCTCTCACCAGACAGTTATCTCTTCAAGGGCAGCTCTCCATGACTTACAGTCTTTGACTACCCAGCATCTTCACAATGGCCAGTACAGCATGTGGTGTAAGTCACATTTATTTATGGAACTGCAACTTGAGATCCCATTTGGGTTAGCACAGAGGGAATAGATAGAAGAGTGGTTTAGCGTATGGGTGGGCAACATACTGGATTTGTACAATCTGACCCTCAGATTTCAATATTTGCTGTGTAAAGAAACCCATGGAGTAGTGGCAGTTAATTCATTCTCTCTCTGTGTCTAAATAGAATAATTCAATATGTGCATGCAAAAGTAAAAGACATATGCATAATGAAGGAGGTATTAGCATAGTGTAAAGACTATGTCATGTCTCAGGAGGTGGCCTTCCTGGATTTCAGTAATAGATCCTAGAGAAATGAATGAGATGCTGAGCTATTTTAAATTATTGGTGAAAAACTGATGACCCTGAGTGCTTTATTTATTATATGTTTATTTATGTGTATTATTTGTTAACTATTACTTAATAAGTTACTTACTTATTACTTAATAAATGTGTTTATTTTGTACACAAAACATTCAAGGCATTAAATCTATAATGATGAGAACATAATAAAAAGAAACCTAATAATGCATAGATTGTGAACTAAATGCGTCATACATGAGTGCTCCTTAAACTGTGTGCAGGTTGGGGTAGATGAGCTGATGTCTTCTATAATCATCATAGGATGTTTAGTATGCTATTTATGTATCAAGTCTTATTTTCTGTATCAATAACATTATGTGAAACATAATATAATCTCTTCATTAGAGAAAGAAAAATCAAACAAAGTGATAAGATGTTGTGGTTACTAGCATAGTTTCAAATCATCCCTCTGTCACCTACTTAGTTTCTGAGGCAAATTTCCTAATTTCTTTGAACTTCGATTTTCTTCTCTGTAGCACCGCTGTTGCTGCTGCTGCTAAGTCACTTCAGTCGTGTCCGACTCTGTGCAGCCCCATAGACGGCAGCCCACCAGGCTCCCCCGTCCCTGGGATTCTCCAGGCAAGAACACTGGAGTGGGTTGCCATTTCCTTCTCCAATGCATGAGAGTGAAAAGTGAAAGTGAAGTCGCTCAGTCATGTCCAACTCTTAGCAACCCCATGGCCTGCAGCCCACCAGGCTCCTCCGTCCATGGGATTTTCCAGGCAAGAGTACCAGAGTGGGTTGCCATTGCCTTCTCCTTGTAGCACTGGGGATGCTAATTATAATAATAATAAATACTAACATTGGCCTATGGATTATTGTGTGACATGGATTATTTTCAGCACTTTGAATTTATTAGCTCTTAATTTTCACATCAACTCCATAAGATAAGCAATATTATTATGCCATTTTAGAAATGAAGAAACAAGGCACAGTTTATGCAACCTGACCAAAGTTACACTGCTAGTAAGTGGTGGACTAAGTTACCCAGTTATTCTCTCTTTAGAGGATGTGCTGTTAACCACATCATAGCTATCTTGTAAGAATTTAATTCTTTATAACTATTTAATTATAATGCATGCAAAACAATTATTTTCTCTGGTATATTAATATTGTTATTAATATAATAATATCAATAGTCATTAATAAAGTTTAGCTATTACTATAGTACATTAAAAACAGTACAAATCAACAACTAGTGAATTTTGTTGTCCATATTGTTAAATACCAAAGTTTTTAAAAAATAAAAAGATAATTAAGGCTTTTCCCCTAATAATTCTGTTAAAAGTAATAATATATGACAACAAAGCAATAATAAGTTTGATTTTATGTTAATATTTCTGTAAGAATAGTATGGGTATATTTTAAGGGATTAGAGTGAAAGAAATTCTGTTGACTATAAAATAATAATTAGTAGTCTGGTAAAGTTTAAATTCTCTTTTGACCTTATTTGCAAGGCTTATTCTAATACAGAAAATATAACCATGTAGATATTAAGTAAGCAAAAATGTACAAACCTGTTGGGGTAAAATCTTCAACACCAAGGAGAATCTGTTGTTATTATTAAAAATACTGTATCATTGAAGATATATATGATATCATATGCCATCACATATTGTTTGCTCTACTGGTATTAAATGTATTTAAATTAAATGGTATTAAATTACTTTAAAGTAAATAACCACTGCTCACAAGACTCACATTCTACAATTTTATTATTATTAGGGTTTGAAGGCTAAAGTAAACACAGGAAAAATCTTTCAGGTGATGTTTTGAAACAAGACATCCTAGGACTAACACAGTGAAAAATCTATTAAATCCCTAAATGTATTAATAAACATTTATTGAGCAAGTGCTCCATGCTGGGCTCTGTATGGTTTCTAATATCACTGACCATTATGGAATGCTTGTGGTCATGTCTAGCCTATCAGTACAGTGGAGCATGATAAGTTAAGACAAATGTATTTGGAAAGAAACTTAAAGAAAGAAATGCTAAACACATTACCACATTTAGCCAAGAGTAAGGGAGTAAATCATATATTGTATTTTGAAACAAGCCTTGGTTACTTTCTTTTTTTTAGTAATTTTTAAAATGTTTACACTATTTTAAAAGGTTACTTTCCATTTACAGTTATTACAAAATATTGGTTATATTCCTCCTGTTATACAATACATCCTTGAGACTGTCTTACAGCCATGCTTACTTTTATCTTCTCCCTGTCATCTATTAACCAGCCATCTCAGAGCAAATTGTGACTTTTTGAGACAGAATGGAAAACATATCCAAAGCTTAATACAGTATGACTAGGTATCCTGGATAAATAAGAACTCTAGAAAGCCAAGATTTCAACTTCTGTTCTTGGGAGATGACAAGTTTTGACAGAAAATGAAAAAGATTAAGCAGCTGACCCACCATCTTCCAATATTTTCTGGACTATTTTCTTGATTCTGGGGGCTTCCGGATCCAGGCAGATTTTCTTCCCATTCTTCAGCGTGGCTCTGCAAGAGAGAGTAGCATTATTTTTGAGCATCCTGGCACATCATCAGAAGGGATCCAGCAGTGGTGGTAGGGATGGAGATGGAGGGCTTCCTTAGGGGGGCAATACTAGAGAAGCAGAGACTTACATTACTTCGACTTTGGCGCAGTGGGGTCCTGCCCTGTTGACCTCCAAACTTTGGATGTTACTGGGATGAATGCCAGAGGTGGTCTTTATACACAAGCAGCGAAGTTCAATATGTAACAATCTCTCCTTACCGCTAACTAGGGCAGAAGATATGATTCTATTAATGGTCATGATTATCTCCTAGATCTTATCTATTGATGAGTACCTCCCTCACAAGGCCATTTGTGAATATGATCGACCTTTCCCCCTTTACTAAAGCACCTAGCAGAATTCCTGGCACAGGTCAAGTGCCCACAAAGTACAGCGTCTCCATTTGTAATTATTCATATAGTGCCCTTCTCTAGTCCCTGGGGCACCAAGGCAGTCCCTCCCCCAGACACAGCTGCAGCAGAAGCAGCCTCAGGTTAGGAGAAGCAGAGAGTCTACTATTCACCTCTCCCTAAAGTTTCTCTTACATTTTCCAGTGGTGGAGGGAACCAGCATCGTCAGAAGCAGTGACATCAGCAGCAACACCTGTAGGACAGGAAGTGGGCCGGGCGCGGTACATGAGGAGGTGGCGTCAGGTCTGAGGCTCATGGTGGAAAAGACTTGAGTTCGAGTTGTTCCCAGGAGGGTGACCTGCCGCTCAGGAGTCTACAGCTAAGTGGTTTTCACAGTCGCCTGATGTCTTTTATACACCCTGCCTCTAGGCCAGTAAGGAGAAGGATAGGGATGGGGGAAGTGAGGGTGTGTGGTAACACAAGTGTAAGAGTGGTCAACTTGTGCCCAACCCAGATAAATGCCAGGCAAGTCAAATTCCTGCTAAATTTCATTTGCTTCATCCCTGCACATGCTCGCTCCCCCTTTCTCAATATCCATCTGCCTTTCACATATTTAGGCAAGAACTACACTGAAATATTACATATATTTTCTTTGAATAATTAGGTAATATGCCCTGCCTTTCCTATAATGCAATTTAGAGGCCTTATAGACATTTTAGCTCTATCTGAAAGCATAAATGTGTGGCCCTTGGAAGAGAGAGTTATCTGCCCTTTCCAGTTGCCAAGGAAAGCAGATGTTCCTATCTTGGTTGTTGATAAGTGCTGGGATTTGTTTGGAGTATGTGAATAAAACAGGAGCCAATTATCATCAAAACTTAATGTTATGTATTAGTTTATGGACTCCTTTCTGTCTTCCAAATGTATTATCTTTTACAATTTCATCCAGAAACTAGAAGCAAACTCCTCTTCTTCTGTATTATAAAATAAACTACTTTTTGCTTTTTTCTGTCATCTGAGTCCACTTTAGAAAATAAGACCCAATAGTTTTATTTTTCCTTTTATTATTAATCTAACAGAGAAATGTATGATACAATTCACTGTAAAAGATTTATAAACTGCAGATAAAACATACAAGTTCCTCTTCATCATTGCTCCACATTCTGGGTCTCCGATGGTAACGATTGGTAAAAATTTGGCATTAGTTTTCTATTCTATCTACATTTATATATACACATATACATAGAACCACATATATAATACATAAAGATATACATATATAAAGAGATAGACATAGATCATTTTTTATACAAGTGGACTTATTATACAGCTTTTTTTCTTTAGAACTATGTCTTCATCATCCTTTCATGTTACTTCAATGTCATTTTTCTCCATTATTTTCAATGTCTGCATAATATCCTATAGATAGGTAATTGTCATCCAACTTTATCCTACTGGCAACCTTGTAGGTGTTCCAGTTTTGCACTTATGGATTGCACTAAGATCTTTATTAAAGTCTCAAACTCTAATTAAGGGTCTTGATTTCAAACCGCACGTGATATGGACAAAGCCTGGCATATGTACAGAAGGAGGCCCACATATCATATACTGGCTTTTGGTTTTGGGTTTTTTTTTTTTCAAGATTTTAAAAAATGACATTTCTTAAAAGTTCAGTTCAGTCCCTCAGTTGTGTCTGACTCTTTTCGACCCCATAGATTGTAGCACGCAAGGCCTCCCTGTCCATCACCAACTCCCGGAGTTTACTCAAACTCATGTCCATTCAATCGGTGATGCCATCCAATTATCTCATCCTCTGCTGTCCCCTTCTCCTCCCACCTTCAATCCTTCCCAGCATCAGGGTCTTTTCCAATGAGTCAGTTCCTCCCATCAGGTGGCCAAAGTATTGGAGCTTCAGCTTCAGCTTCAGCATCAGTCCTTCCAGTGAATACTCAGGACTGATTTCCTTTAGGATGGACTGATTGGATCTCCTTGCAGTCCAAGGGACTCTCAGGAGTCTTCTCCAACACCACAGTTCAAAAACATCAATTATTTGGCTCTGAGCTTTCTTTACGGTCTAACTCTCACATCTATACATAACTACTGGAAAAACCATAGCTTTGACTATACAGAACTTTGTCAGCAAAGTAATGTCTCTGCTTTTTAATATGCTGTCTAAGTTAGTCATAGCTTTTCTTCCAAGCAGCAAGTGTCTTTTAATTTCACGGCTGCAGGCACTATCTGCAGTGATTTTGGAGCCTAAGAAAATAAAGTCTCTCACTGTTTCCATTCTTTCCCCATCTATTTGCCATGAAGTGATGGGACCGGATGCCGTGATTTTCATTTTTTGAATGTTGAGTTTTAAGCCAGCTTTTTTAGTCTCCTCTTTTACTTTCATCAAGAGGCTCTTTAGTTCTTCTTCGCTTTCTGCCATAAGGGTGGTGTCATCTGCATATCTGAGGTTATTGATATTTCTCCCACTAATGTTGATTCCAGCTTGTGCTTCATCCAGCCCAGCATTTCTCATGATGTACTCTGCATATAAGTTAAATAAGCAGGGTGACAATATACAGTCTTGATGTACTCCTTTCCTGTTTTGGAACTAGTCTGTTGTTCCATGTACAGTTCTAACTGTTGCTTCTTGACCTTCATATAGATTTCTCAGGAGGCAGGTCAGGTGGTCTGGTATTCCATCTCTTTAAGAATTTTCTACAGTTTGTTGTGATCCACACAGTCAAAGTCTTTAGCATAGTCAATGAAGCAGAAGTAAATGTTTTTCTGGAACTCTGTTGCTTTTTTGATGATCCAACAGATGTTGGCAATTTGATCTGGTTCCTCTGCCTTTTCTAAATCCAGCTTGAACATCTGGAAGTTCACAGTTCACGAACTGCTGAAGCCTAGCTTGGAGAATTTTGAATATTACTCTGCTAGTGTGTGAGATGAGTGCAGTTGTGTGGTAGTCTGAGCATTCTTTGTCATTGCCTTTCTTTGGGATTGGAAAGAAAATTGACCTTTTCCAGTCCTGTGGCCACTGCTGAGTTTTTCAAATTTGCTGGCATATTGAGTGCAACACTTTCACAGCATCATCTTTTAGGATTCAAAATAGCTCAACTGAAATTCCATCACCTCCACTAGCTTTGTTTATAGTGATGCTTCCTGAGGCCCACTTGACTTTGCATTCCAGGATGTCTGGCTCTAGATGAGTGATCACACCATGGTGGTTATCTGGGTCATGAAGATCTTTTTTGTATAGTTCTTCTGTGTATTCTTGCCACCTCTTCTTATTATCTTCTGCTTCTGTTAGGTCCACACATTTCTTAAAAGTTAACATGTGCATAAGAGGAAACTGAAAAACACAAGCCATAATCACAAGCAGTTTACAGTTTGATACTACGCATCCATTTTTATGTAAATAAGATCATGCAGTTATGTATCATGCTTTCTCACACATCACGAATACCTACCCACTTTCACTATCCCACAGCTATATGAGTATTTTGATAGCCAAGAATATACTATACCAGCTCAATGCAGGAAAAAATAATGTAATCCTGCCTTGGCAACAAATATTTCACAAGAGACAAAAATGGCAACAGCTCTCTAGATAAAGATATTGGTAGTATTATGATTAAAACACTACATTCCCTTAGTGCTCGATTAAAAATGGGATATAGAGCAACAGAGTACACAAAGTATAATGCTTCTAAGAGGATTCATTATCCAAGCTAAACTATTAAAGTATTAGCGATGAAGTATGTTTCCATTGAATTTCTTAACAAAATGTTCTTATGATACAGCCTAGAGATGTACACGCATCAGTGGTTATCATCTAAATACAAGTATGACACACCCATATACATCCCTCCTTTTATGCTTCCTAATGCCCATCTGCTGCCAACCTAATGAACAAGTCCTGACGTATATTTCTCAGAGATGGTTTAACCATTCCATATCCAAGATGATTTATTTTTATCAATTGTAGCAACAATATTTGGACTTCCCTGGTGGCCCAGAGGTTAAGATTCTGCTCTCCAAACGTAGGGGCCAAGGGTTCAATCCCTGGTCAAGGAAGATCTTGCATGCCTCATGGCATGCCAAATATATATATATTTATATATATATGTGGGCTTCCCGGGTGGCGCTAGTGGTAAAGAATCTGCCTGCCAATGCAGGAGGTGTAACTGACAGGGGTTCAATCCCTGGGTCAGGAAGATCCCCTGGAGCAGGGCATGGCAACCCACTCCAGTATTTTTTCCTGGAGACTCACCATAGGCAGTGGAGCCTGGCAGGCTACAGTCCATGGGGTCCACCAGAGTCAGACATGACTAAAGCAACTTAACATGTGTGCATATATATACATATATATATATATATATATATATATATATATGAAGTGAAAGTCACTCAGTCATATCCGATTCTTTGTGATCCCATGAACTATACAGTCCATGAAATTCTCCAGGCCAGAATACTGGGGTGGGAAGCCATTCCCTCCTTCAGGGGATCTTTCCCACCCTGGGATCAAACCCAGGTCTTCTGCATTGCAGGTAATTCGTTACCAGCTGAGCTACCAGGGAAGCCTCTATATATGTATATATAATATATATATTATATATAATTATACATTATATATATAATTATACATTATATATGTATTTATACATTATATATAATATACATTATATATTTATTATATATACACATATATATTTTGTTGTTTAGTCGCTGAGTTGTGTCTGACTCTGTGACCCCATGGACTGCAGCCCACCTGGCTCCTCTGTCCATGGTAATTCTCCAGGCAAGAAACAAAGATATTTACAAATTGGTTAATTCATTAGCTCTACTTTTTATCATATACTGTCACCTCAGGACATCTAAAAATCTTAGATATTGCAAAATAATGAACCTTGTCCACAATAAACATAGGTACTTCACAAAAATGAACATATAAATCTATGGTTACAACCTAAAACTGTCTTCAAGATATGGAAACGTTAGCCAGGAGCCCTTCCCTTCGCCCTTTCTCTTACCCCTCCTCAAGCATTCTGGGGGAGAGCACTACATCTAGCTCCAAGAGGTGATTAACAGAGACACTCCCAGAAAACTTGGGCTTCCCTGGTAACTCAGCTGGTAAAGAATTTGCCTGCAATGCAGAAGACCCTGGTTCAATTCCTGGGTTAGGAAGATCCCCTGGAGAAAGGCATGGCTATCCACTTCTGTATTCTGACCTGGAGAATTCCATGGACTGTATAGTCCATGGGGTGACAAAGAGTCAGACATGACTGAGTGGCTTTCAGTTTCACTCCCAGAAAACACAGTCCTTCCTAGAAACTAAGGAAAGGGTATCCGTGAAGGGGTTATTTTACTACCTTTGCTTTTAATATACTTTGGGCAT